ATTCCCTTGCTGGAGGCAGCTAGGGGCCCCTCCTATGCCCAGAGTAGACCCCCAACACCCTTCCTACCTTGACCTCCTTCTGTGTTTTCAGTCTTAATGAATGGCACTTTCCAGCACTGAGTTATCCAAGCAGTTGAGAGACTCCTCTCTCCCTGCAGAGAATGCAACCACCCTAATTGGTAACCAAGTCTTGTCGTTTCCATTTTCCCAGCATCTCTAATATATGTCCTCCCCCCGTCCTCATTCTTGTGCTTGCCCTGGTTAGACATCGCTATCCTTCACCTGGATGCTGTAATCAGCTTCTAGCTATCTTCCTGCCTCCGAAATTGACCCTTCTAACGCTCGCCAGCAGCTGCAGAGAGCATGTCAAAAATGTAAATATCCCTCCAGCTTGACACCCTTTCATCGTTACTTCTGCTGCCTACAGAACATCTCGAAACCTGCTAGCAAGACAAACGGATGCCACCGGGCCCGACTACCTTTCACCGTGGAGGTGCCCTGCTGCCTTGATGCATTCTGCATGCCCGCTGCAGCTTCCACCCCAGGGCTTGTGTTTATTGTGCAACATCTGTGTGGGACACTGTGGCGGTGCAACATCTGTGTGGGACACTGTGGCGGTGCAACATCTGTGTGGGACACTGTGGCGGTCTGAATAAGAGTGGCCCCACAAGCTCATATATCTGAATGCTTGGTCACCAGGGACTGGCACTGTTTGAGAAGAAATAGGAGGTGTGGTCACCGGGCATGGGCTTTGAGATTTCAAAAGCCCATGCCAGCCAGGCCCCTGCCTCTCTCTTCTTCTCTCCCCCCCAACCCGTCTCGTGCCTACAGACCAGGATGCAGCTCTCATCCACTGTTCCAGCCCCTTGCTAGAGCATAGTGCAGTTCCCCACTATGATGATACTGACCATAAACCTCTGAAACTGTAAGCAAACCTCCAATTAATTGCTTTCGTCTAGAAGAGTTGCCTTGGTGTATCTTTGCAGCAGTAGAACATTGACCAAGACAGACACATTCTCCACCCTATGAGCCAGGCAGACAGGACTTTATCTAAGCTGCAGCATTTTTTTATGATGCCCAAATTTGACCTGTGCAGCAGTATTTGTGGTAGAGACAGTCACTACTGACTTTACAGGAAGGAAACAGAATATAGGATAATCAGGAACTTTCTAAATGTCACCATATACCCTACCCCAAAAGGCTTGAGTCTGGCTTGAACCCAAGCTGGTTATCATCTTATCAAAAACCTGGTACCTGCCTTCTAAGACAGCACCAGACAAGCTATGCACAGAGCAACCTCACGAAAGCCCTTGCTAAATACATAACTGAGCTGGAGGGGCAGCAGAGAGCAGGGCAGGAAGGCTATCAGGAGAGCAGCCAGTTCAGAGCCTTGGGCATAAAGGCATATACCAGAGGCATCTAAAGCACAAGGACACATATACCAGGAGCATCTAAATCACAGTGACATATACCAGGGCATATAAAGCACAAGGACACATATCAGGGCATCTAAAGCACAAGGACATATACCAGGGCATCTAAAGCGCAATGACATATACCAGGGCATATAAAGCACAAGGACACATATCAGGGCATCTAAAGAGCAGTGACACATACCAGGGCATCTAAAGTGCAATGACATATACCAGGGCATCTAAAGCACAAGGACACAGGAGTGAATCTTCAACAAGCTTCGCTCCCAGGTACATTTCAGCAATGCCCAAAATGCATAGCTTTTGTGTTTTCATTCCTTTTCAGGATACACTGGCTTGGGGACGAAAGGTGCCCGAGTCTTTCAACGCTTCACTCCAAAGCATCACAAGAGGCCAAGGCTGAAGGCAGGCAGTGCGATGTCTTCAACACCAGAAGGGACCACGTGGCAACCATGGTACTTTGCTTGCTGTCCCAGAGACAGGACTGAAGCAGAAAGGGGGTGTTCTAGATGCACACTGTCACTGGTAGGTGCTCCTCTTCAGGGGCTGTCACTCTGTCACCGTAGCACTCACAAAGCCCAGCAGGTCCTGTGCTAGGCAGGTGGGCACAGAATGCGGCCCTCTAAGACTAGGAGATGGGACAGCCACAGCCTTCCTGCCCTGCTCACCGCAGCAGCAGCTGGCCTGCCCTGAGGAAAGTATTTCCATTGCTCTTCTGGAAATTCTCTGCCAGTCACACAAGGGACGGGGATGCCTAGACTGGGGAATTTAAAACCAGGGGCCTGGGATTCTAATGACTGAAGAAGTTTCCTGGAAACTGAGGCCCAAGACCACAGAGCAAAATAATGATGGAACTTGTTTTATAAACTAGAACTCTTGAGTCCAGAACCTTCTATTCCAAAATATGCTACAGGCACCAGCTTTCTGTCAGGCACTGTATAAAATTTAGAAATGCAAATATTAATGATCTCATTGTCTCCAAAGTGAGGAGAAAGCCATCATTAGAAACCTGTAATTTGGCCAGGTGAGGTGGGGATGGGAACACCTCTCTTGCTGGCTCTCTGGGCCCAAGTCATTCACCGCACAGGCAGCTGCAGAGAGACTGTAAAGGTAAAGACACTGGTAACGTCCCTTGGGAGTCAGTGGGCACAGCATGATGGGGTCTGAGTTGCAGGAACCAAGTCCAGCCACAACAGAAGGAAAGCCACACGCTTGCCAGCGCTGGACAGCAGCGTTAGTGACCATACCGCTCTTCCACCTGGCAGATTCCAAGGTGCAGCTAGAAACTAGAAGGCAGAAGCGTGTGTGACAGGAAAGTCTCTCTTTCTTGAAATCACACTGCACTCTATACCATCCGGCACCCTCAAGAATCCAGCAAAGTGGGCAGCAGGACTTCCATCCTTTGGGTGGGAAAGCTGAGCATTTGACACTGTCCTAAGGTCCTTCAAACTGAAGTGTCTGAGTTAAGAGTCAAAGCCATCCCTCTAGGCTGAGTGTAGGCCACAGGCAGAGCACTAGCCTGCCACGGGCATGGCCCTGAGTTCCATCCCCAGAACAACACACGGTAGCAAAAAGCTAAAACTAAAAAGTAATCAGTTAAAAAAAAATCAAAGCCCCCTACTTCACTTTGTTTCTCTAAAACTGTGAGTGTTGGGCTGGTAAGTGAGCGTGAGAGTGTGGCTACAACTGAAACAGAGAATACCCAAGCTGAGGGCGAGATGTCTGCCAGCAGATGACCAGTGGCATGCTGAACTAAGTCAGGCAAATAGACCTGAAGCAGGAAACAGGACCAGCCCTAAGACAGTCAGGCCTTGCTCTTCCCCCGTGATGCCTGGGGCAGAAATAGGAAGTCTATATGTCTGGGAGGACCACTGTGTGCTGGGAACCACCATCTGCCCTTCCTTCTAATCCGAGTCCAACAGGGAGGACCACTGTGTGCTGGGAACCACCATCTGCCCTTCCTTCCAACCCGAGTCCAACAGGGAGGACCACTGTGTGCTGGGAACCACCATCTGCCCTTCCTTCCAACCCGAGTCCAACAGGGAGGATCACTGTGTGCTGGAAACCACCATCTGCCCTTCCTTCCAATCCGGGTCCAACAGAGTTTTGATTCTTCTTTTTCAATCTGGCCTCTGTGACAGCTTCCCACATAGGCCAGGGTGATGTCTAACAATGCAGCCTCCCTGCAGATTAGAACATGGGGACTTCAACAGAGGTTGAAGGGCCACAGACGCCCAGGAATGGTGGAGCCTGGGCTGAAGCCGACGCTGGAGACCCCTCTCCTGCCATGGCCCCTTGGTCTGCTTCAGTTATGCTACTGGCTGCTTTCTGGGATCTGCTAGGGAACAGTGTGGGTTTGAGTCCAGCAGCTTCTTCCAGTTTGACTCTGAAGGACGTTGCCTAGTGAGCCCTATAGTAAGCCCTCAAAGCGTAGCCCAGTCTAAGCACACAAGACTCTGTAAAAGCTCGAGTAGAGCCTCTAAGGGGGTGTCCTCGTGGCACTGGCACTGAGAGTCCTGCCCAGGAGTCCAAGAGTAAAAATAACTACATCCCATCCAGCCACAGCAACTCCAGCACTTAGCCAAAGGCTGGCCCTAACTTAGGGACCAGGAAGCTCCCCATGGTGCATCTGCGTCAGGACAACGAGAAACAGAAGGACCCACATTTGCCAGGATTTGCTGACTGCCATTTATACATATACCCACTTTTTTCTTCCATCCTCACACGAGCCAGCAAAGCTGGAATAAAGCCTCCATGATCCAGGTGAAAGGTCACAGGGCTAGCCAAAAACACTGCAAGAAGAGGTCATGGCCAAGCCTCAACCCCATCTTTCTGACTCTCGAATTCTGGTCCTCATCAGTCTCTTCCTGCTGCCCAGATGTGATTCTGTCTCTGTCCCTCTGACCAGAGAACTGGGGCGGTGTCCAGATTCATACACACATGATCACAAACATCTGGATAATTTGGATGACCTGGGTCAGCAGTGAGCAGATCAGCCTGCAAGGGGAGGGGAGAGGGCGGCCAGGGGATGACAGCTCACTGTCATGAAAGGATGCCCAGGTCCACTCCTTCCGGAATTACCCTCACAGTCCATGTTCAACTATCCACCCTACACCAGCCGAGCTGGAAGAATACCCAGATGTCCAGGAAATATTTCCCAGAGCACCGAGTCATCCCGGGCAGCCAGGAACCAGAGGCATCCTCAACCACATCACACATCCATTCTATCACCTGGCGTCTGCAGAGGTAGAATCCCCATATTCAGAAATGCAGGCTCCTTGCTGGTGTGTGTGCGTGTGTGTGTGTGTGTGTGTGTGTAGAGCACAACTCCCAGTCACAAAGCCATATACTCGCCCCATGAGGCCACCTGAGAGGAAATAATGTTTCCATTGTTCTAAGGTCACAAGATAGCATCAAGAAGCCCTCCTTGAGGATCCAAAGAGAAAAAGAAGAGCCAAGATCTCCAACACCGTCTTGTAAAATCCCTCCAAGCTGGGCTGGAGGCAGATGGGCTCAGCCCAGACCCGGGTAGGAGGATGGGCCACTGCTCCAAGCGGAGGGACATACCTGGACTTCCCTCGTGTGATAGGCGATGATCAAACCCAGCAGGATGATGGTGGATAAACTGATAAGGCATTTCAGGGCCAACGAAAACATGGAATCCTGCAGGAGAGAGGGAAAGAGAGTTAGGGGTCCAGGCAAGAAGTAGCTCATGGGGTGTAACAGCAAACAGCGGGGCAAAAGAAGGAGAATCCTTAGTCCCTCCTGGGAGCAGAGTAGAACCGGAAGTTAGCCTGAGCCTGGGCTGTCCCTTCTAAGCCTTTGCTTTTGATAAGAAAACATTCTTGCATTCCCAGAACAACCCCAGTAGGTGCAGTGCTTCATGTCTGTGATACCTTGCTAGATTTTATATTATTGGCCTCCATGCTCATAAGTCTTAAGAATGTAATTCCTTCTTTGCCATTGTTATATGGTTTGGGTATCTATACCATGTCAGCTCATGTTCCTATCTTAGCATAAACCAGAAGATTCACATCCCCAGCCATGGGGAGCTCTGTTAGGAATGAATCAGAATGCCCTGGTAGCTTCTCTGTCCCCGGACTTCAGCCAAGGGCAATAGTGGAAGGACAAGGACAGCAGAAGGATGACTGGGTGGCTGAGGGGCCAGCAAAGGAACAGAAAGGGGTCCTGGGCAGGGGAAGGTTTTGGTGGCCTGCTGGTCAGGGCAGAGGACACTCCCTGCAGCTCCTGCCAAGGTGGCTCTAAGAGTCTGGAGTCTGTGCATTCGCTCTCGGGCTGTCTGCTGGGTCCAGAGCCTGCCCCAGCTACTCAGAGATGCATGACCATCAAGGTGCCTACACCAGCCTGGCTCAGTGAGTGTTGGCTGCCATTAGTTTTGCTCCTGGCAGTCAGAGCATATAGCTGAGACTACTCCTGAGTAGTCAAGTCTGGAAGGAGAGCTACCTTTACATAGCCTTGAGCAACAAGCACCTCTCTATGGTCCTGAGAGCTGGGGAGACCAAAGAAGCAATGCTATCCTCGAGGAAATCAATAATGTACAATTTCTGCATGTTCCAGCTTTATAGCAACGACGTGACCAGAGGCACAAATGGCTTTAGCCAGAGTTCAAAGCCAGAGCCTCAGACCCCCAGGCCACTGCCCTGTGCTAACTCTGCCAGGAAGTAGGGATGCTGGTGAAAACTCCCCGACACAGATCTAAATGGCCGATTAAGACAAGAGGCCAAAATATAACTAGGTAAGAGAGACAAACTCTACTATTCTGTATAGAGTTACTATGGTTATAACTACCTATGGCACATTGCAAATAACTAGAAAAGGGCAAACGTTCTTACCACACAGAACTGCACAGTGTCTGAGGGGATGGGGTATTTCCAGCCTGAGCCAGTCATCACATGCATGCATGTTTCAAAGTCTGTGACAAAACTCCCTAGAAATATACACATATTATGTTTCAGCTAAGTTTTTAAGATAACAATAGAAGCATTTCAACAGCAACATAAGGTTAATAGCCTGGGGATTTTTATAGCAGAGCTGAAAGAGCTTCAGGGAGGGAGGCATCACTGGCAGAGGTGGACCAGCAGATGCCCATACTGATGCTCTCGGCACCCCATGTGTGCAGACATGGGATGGAAGCTACTCTCTCTGGTGTGTCCATCAATCTCATCTCTTATCTCCTTGGTATAATCAATATAATATCAATATAATATAATTAGCTCCAAGGAAGAACTAGTGAAATAACTCACTGGTTCGTTCATTCACACTTGGTTTTTGTCTGTTTGTATTGTCTGTTGCAGGGTGCACATGTGGCAAGCAGCCATGTGCATGCACAAGAGCATTCATGTAGAAGCCAGAGGACAACTTTTGGAAGTCTGTTCTCTCCTTCCACTTTCATGTAAAGCCCAGAAATTGAACTCAGGTCATCAAGCTTGTGTGGCAACCGCTTTTACCTGTAAAGCCATCCCCGAGAGCCTGTTTTGTTTTCTAAGACAAGGTCCAGGTACGTAAACTTCCATCTTCCTGCCTCAGCATTCCAAGTTCTTATTCATTTGAGTTTTCACAACAGTTTCAACCAGTTCTTGCTTGCTGAGTACCTGCTAGACAACCCAGGGCATGGTCCATGCTGGGGGTACACAGAGAGGGCCCCGCCCACGGGAAGGTTTTAGTCTGTCTTCTTGTGTAAACCCTCACTTAGTTGAACTATACGTTCCCACTGTGGAGAAACATGGCCAAGCTGGGGTGTAGCTTAGTGGTTCAGAGCGCTAACCGCACAAGGCAGAGATCTGGATGCTGTCCCCAGTGCTGGCCTACTTAGCATCTCCTGCGCGCTTTAGAGCGAAGAGCAGCCTGGAACTCTGTCTGGAGCCCATGAGTATAGGGGTGTCTCGGGGAGTCCTGGTGCTCCACTGAGGCAACATGAACACCAGGAGAAACAGAGCCAATTCTGACCCTCCAGAAGGTTCGAGCTTTGAAAGCTTACTTGTTTCTGATCCCAGACCCAGCTGGGACTGAAGACAAAAAAGCACAGGGACACTCGAGTTGTTGTGGGACATGATGAATTTCCCTACAGGAAGGAGCTGGGACAGCTCACCATGCTCTCCAGCCAGAAATGACCATAAGGTCCTTGTCAAAGTGGTCCAGAAGCATGTGGCCAGCATCACGCCTACCCCAGGAAGGCCTGTGAGCAGCGGCACCCTTCCCGCCCCTAATTCATCTTCTTGGCAAAAAACTAGTAACGTCAGAATCTATGTCTATTTCCATCATTTTTAGGGGAATAGGTAAAGGGACAGAGGCCAGATGCTGTCTCCTCCCTTTAAGCATCTTCCATTTCTCCCAAAAGTCAAAGCTTTTCCATTAAAAGGCAGCTCCCACCTGCTCAGAGGTTTGGACTGTGGCAGCCTGCGGGGAGTCAGGGCTGTGCACTGGACTGACAGAGACCCTAGAGACTTTACAGACAGCCTTGAGGTCTCGTCACACGTCAATAAAAGAAAAACATTAACTCATTTTCTAACACCTATAAAGCATGTCAAAAAAGTCTAGCTGGATCTGGAACATTTTCTATTTGTTAAAATGTTGAATTATCATCTTCTTTCCCACTTGAACTTTAGTGAAGCTTGAAATTGATGTGACTCTTCGGATGACACCAATGACACAAGGTTGACTAATTAGTCGCAAAACACCACATGGTGGGGCACCTGTCACACCCGCTGTGCCCTAACACACTCCATCTGGGGCCTTAAAATTGACTCATTGGCCGTGAGGAGTCCTGCGGTCAACTAGTCAACCCTTTTCCCCTATGTTTGAGGCCTTTTTAACAACAAAGAAATAACCCCCAACAAGCAGGATACGCAGGACACATTCCTTTGATGGGGAAGTTTTATATATAAAGATTTACTTTTATTTTTAAAATATGAATGTAAGAGGGGTGCATGTGATGGCAGCACCCACAGAGTCCAGAAAAGGGAGTCAGACTCCCCTGGCTAGAGTTACAGGCACTTACGACCTCCCAAGGTGGGTGCTAGGAGCCTAACTCTGGTCCCCTGGAGAAGCCTTATGCATTCTTAACCACAGGGCCAACTCTCCAGCACTCGTTTCAAAATCCATCTAGTCCTATAGGTTCAAGGATATTCAAGTGGTTCCGACCATCTGAGCAGCTAGTGATGGAGGATAGTACGGCCGTAAAGATAGAAAGTATCAGAAGTCACAGAGAGGGAGAAGTTGGGATAGACTGTTAGCTGGAAAGTTTTGAGCCTCAAACTGTATGTTTCTGATTATTTTTCAATTTTCCCATGTAGAAAAAAGATTGTGAAAATACCAATATTCTGTATCATAGACTGTTTTCTTCTCTCCTCAAATTATTAATAATGGGAAGATAGCATTTGTAATTGAAAAGTTTATTTTTCAAAATCTGAGCCCTGGACTGCCAGGAAGAGGCTTCTGTGCAGTGGGAAGCTACAGCCTTACTTGTGACATGCCTTCTGCACGGGTGGCTGCTGGAGCAAGTGAGCCTCGAGTGCACCCCTGGCATGGGGATGATGCTCTAAGCTTCCTCTGGGTTTCAAAAGCTCATTTCATGTACTCATGCCCATTCTCCAGTGTCGTGCTCGAAGAGAGACTATTCTCAGCTTGAGCAGATTTCACACTTAGGCCAGGTGGGCACTTGGGCCCCTTAATCGCTTGGGCTGGGCTTACGCACGCGTGCCCGCTTCAGGCGGCTTTATTGCTTCACTGATTGTCAATCTATCTAACCCACATGTTAACACGTTAGCACATTTGTGCTGTGTGAGCCCATCACCTGTTTGGTGCTCTGAGGATAACAGGCACTTAAGAAATACTTCCTTTACAGCTAACCTTCCATGAGCCCTGATCACGCGCTTCCTCGGAGCAGACCTACCATGAGCCTGATCACGTGCTTCCTCGAAGCAGACCCACCATGAGCCCTGATCGCGAGCTTCCTTGGAGCAGACCCACCACACATGAGCCCTGATAAACCTCCTGTCACCATTTTACCATAAAACACCGAGAATTGGAGAGTCCTCGAAGTGACGTTTTCCAGGTCACGCAGCTCACTCAGACTTTAGCTATCTGCCAGATTTCTCTGAGTCCCACACTTCCCCTGCCCTTCGGTGTCCTCGGGACTGTGTGAGACAGTATGTCCTGTTACCTCAGTGAAGCCTTGGGCTGCACAAGAGATTTCTGGCTGGGCAGGAGATCAAGACACATTCCTGGAGACGTTCCCACCATGTGGTCCTGTTCCGCCCCTGGACACAAACCAGCCCTTCACAGGTCTGTAATCTTCCCATTGATAATAATCTGGACTAACCTCCTGCTAACAGGCACCTGCTGCTCAGAGGAGCCATCATGAACTCTCTTCTGCAGACAAGGAAAACTGAAGCTCCAAAGAACTGTATTTGTTCAAGGGCAAAGCCAACAAAGAGCAAAGGCAGGTTTGGGGGGTCAGGCTGCCACTCAGACCCACCTTCCTTCCAGCTTTGAGCCCACAGTCCTGCAGCTGGGCCCCACTGGCCTCCATGTTCAATCAAGGAGCAGCTTCTCAGGGCTGCTGCGTCCCTTCCTGGGGTTGTGCACAAGGTGATAGAGTGGTCCCCAGGCCTCTGAGCCTGCATGATAAATTGCTCTCCTGG